CTGCTCTGTTTGATTTTTTTTCATCTGGCATTCTGGTCTCAAGATGCATCCACTTTTGTACAAATGACTCAAATTACCTCTTTCAAGACTTTGCCATTAGAATTCTTACATATTTCCTCCAAATAGTCTATTCTTCAAGAAGCACACTGACTCTTAAATCTTTGCTCTGTAAATATTGTAATTACTCCAACCAGCCCAGTGATTTGTTTGAAATTTCTGGGTTGGCCTACATTTAATCATCATAAACATTATAATGCTGTTATACCATTTTATTAACTCTTCTAATTTTAAAATTCTTTGTATATTTTTAGAATCTACAAATGAATGAACCTGAGGGCCAGGAATTGCAACTTTTATTTCTTTCCTTCCAGAGTAATTAATATAGCATTATGAAGATAACTGTGATTCAATCAATTGTTATTATATAATTAAAATAATTACTAAAGCAAAAAAATTATTCAAGGCCTCTTAGTAGTTTTATTTTTATCCTACCTTGCAATAGTCTAATGCTACAGTGAGTTTAGCCTTTTACCAAGGTATTTTTCTTATAGTATATAAATGCAAAAAAGTTCTCATAAGAAACCTGCTGCCCAGGGGCTGGGGATTTAGCTCAGCGGCAAAAGCGCCTGCCTGGCAAGCGCAAGGTCATGAGTTCGGTTCCCGGTACCGGAGAAAAACCAAAAAAAAAAAGAGAAACTTGCTGCCCTTTGTAAGTTACGTGTGGATTTTATACTATTAAAATCATATTTTCACTGGTATTTACAGCATTACAAATGTTTTACAGTGATGGAATATTTTATATTAAAAATAATTATTACAATGATTAGTAATTTTTATAAATTCTCAAAATGATCAATGTTCTGTTACCCTCAATCAATATATGAAATACAAGTGAGATTAAAAAGTAGGCTATAAAAGAACAATATTGTTTATACTGGTGGTTATTGATATAGAAATCATAGGTAATGCTTTGAATAAAACTGACAAGTCCAAGGATAAGAACAGATTTTTTTCTAGAAGACCAGAAAAAGCTTTAATAATCATGTATGTAATCTTGAGATCTCGTTGTATAATTCCATTGAATAGTCATCATGTTTTGCTATCCTATATCTCAGGGAATAGCATATACTTCATTCCATCTCCATTAAGAGACAAAATATAAAAGGAGCTACATTATTTCTGAGGTGTTTTATAAGTATTTTCACCTCAAATCAAGTTCCAGGTTATTATACCCAGGCACAACATTCATTTAATCCTGTGATCCATCAGCAACACATAAGAAAATATTCACAGATAGAGTTAGTATGACAGTAAAAGATAACCTAATGTTCATGGTGAGGTAAATAACCTTACGCTTAAGAGAAGCTTGAATTATATTTACCATGTTCTTCTAAAAAGTAATGAAGTACCAATTTTTTTCAGAAAAATTAGGTGAAAATGACTACCTTAAAAACATACAACTTTGGGATTTAGAAGTGTCCAATTCTTCTCATTTTAAGTATCACAATCTACTGAGCATTCATAAGTGAAGCATTGATGTAACTCTCCCAGAAACTCATAAACTTAGATATTTTAAGCTTTACCGTGTGTTTGATGGATCTGACAATTGGGAAAAAATCACTCTCTGTGATTAGTTTGCTTTGTGTAATATTTTCATCTCCACTAAGAACAAGGTGAAGTGCAGAAGCATTCTGTCTATATCTGTACATTCTCTAAGGCCTTGCTCACTCCCGGAGTTTAAGGATATGATGTCAGGATTTTCCGTGTTTTTATTCTCTACCATTGTCAAAGAACGCGCAGTGACAATCTAGATATACACCCTCCTTGGTTACTCAATGAGTGTGTAATTGCAATAGTTGTAACAGATATATGTGTAAGAAATATCTGCCTGTTAAGAGTTTGTACTTTTAAAGAATCACTTTACAGAAATTAGATACTATACATGAATTGTTCCTTCTCTGCAATAATAATTTTAAAATGAGATAGACATTGTGCTTGCATTTGTGTTGCAATATTCTTGAATTACACTGATTTCCTTATGATTCCAATGGGATGGAGCATTTGCTTAGCAGAATGAAGGACTCCAAAAGAACAGAAAAGCAGAGAAAGGGAAAATTTCTAAGGGTATGAGATGTTTGCCTCTATTACAGTGTTCCATGTCTTTTATTTCTAGAAGAACTAGAATCATCAAAAGTTGGAAGTAGGCGTTACTTCTGGACGCTCAGGATTGCATTATGGCTGTTTCTTCCTACACAAAATTATTCCAAAATTCCATAACTTTTTAAAAAGTACATTGAATATTTTCCTTAATTTTGGAGAGGATTAATAGGAAAAAGAAAATCTCCTTTGCTTTGCTGCATCAGAAAAATTCATGACTAAGTTCCTAAAGTTCATATTTTTCTACCTGGGAACTCTTTTTAATGATTCAGTTTGTTAGAGAGCACTTTCTACTTCCTCCTTCAGAGTTTTTTAAAAGTATGTTCCCCTCTGTTCTTCATTTAAAGATGTAACAAAGCAATTAGTTAAGATTTTCAGAATTTCAGCACCTCTCATTTGATGTTACAGAAAAATTTATTGTAGTCCTAAAGAACTATCTGCCTCAACAATAGGCAAAAAGACAGTGGCCTTTCCACTCTCTGTAAAATTCTTACTGTAAAATGAAGTTTTTAAATTTTCTGTGCTCATGCCTTCCCACATACCCAAATGTGTAGAACTTCCCTTGATACATATTCAGAGCATGAAATTCCACTGGTGTTGCAGTCCAAGCGATAGCAGCAGTGCGAATGTCATTCCAGAAGTGTACGGAGTCACAGTGGGTTTATCTAAGACCCTGTGGTTCACAACCTGCTCACCCATCCCTACATTTACATGCTCTTAGAAAGTGTGAGGAATGTAAATGCTGATCTGAGCAAGGACATTTGCTGCTCACTGGATGGTTGTGTTTACTAAGGGCTTGAGCAAGCTGCTTTGTACCCTCCTTATTACTGGCTAGAAAGCATGTCTTCACTCCATATCTGTTTGAAGAAATACAGATTACTGTCACATTTCCCTTCCAGCCCTACTGCACATTTGGGTAGCATTCCTAAAACTCAGAACATTTGGGAAGAGAGGTTTACTTGGGCACTTTGCAGTACTGGTAACAGCCTACACTTTTCCTATCTGTGAGAATCAGTGATTTGGGGGAGGTAGTTCTTTTCTATTTATGTTTCAGTGCTTCAGTGTGATTTAGAAGGATGTTCGAAACTGACACTGGAGAAGGACAATTTTCAAAACCTCTGGGAAGATGAATTTAACATCCTGTGCAGAGAGATTAGTATTCCCATCCTGTTTTAATGGCGAATCAGTCAGTTATTATAATGTGTGCAAAGAATCATAGTTGACTTGGCAGAAAACCCTGCCTTTTTGGCTTTCTGCCATGTTCTGTGAATAAAGGAGTATGCCATGGTTGTTTACAGGGTTGTCGTTCCCTTGGGAGATTTTGTTCTAGTTCACCTTAACTCATTACTGATTCATGGGCTGTAGTTTTGGGCTAAATGATGATAGCAGAGAAACAGTAGCTGCAAGCCTAACAAAGTCTGCCACAGACTCTTCCATCCTTTCGTCCATTTTCAAATTTGCTGTCCAAAACACCATTTAAAACACTGCTCTTCTTTCATCTTTTCCATCCAACCCCAAGACTACTTTTTTTATTAAGGATATCTTGTAATAGGACATGTTTCACTAGTCATGTTTTGGTCATTTTCTCTTTGCCAAATACTCTGTTTTTATTAAGTATCAGTCCATAAGATGCCTGTACATTTATTTCCTTTTTATTTCTACTGGCAGGTGGCTTTAACATAGCAGGAGAAATGGACCCTATCAATATTTTAGCCCAAGAGGATCTTAGATCAGATGGTCAAAGGAGTTTAGCTACTTTGACTTTTTGGCACCATCCATAGACTAGTATGTAATTATGTTATAGCTAGTGTAGGATATGTGGAGACTGTCATTTCTGAACACAGACTTGTGATTATCTTGGTAGATAATTTGTTTACTGAGTCTTATAACCTTAGATTTAGAGGTGGGTATGTCAAGAGGAATACTTAAAAGCTCAGCTCGGCCAACATTCTGAGATTGTAATTCTTTGAATAATGGAAATGTTACTACTTCAATAGTCTTATTTACTTACATTGCACTGAAAGACTAGCAGTTGAGACAGTCATAAGAATGTACAATAGAAATTCTTGGTTTATGGAAATTAAATACAAACTACAGCTTTGTAGTGAGTTACTATGATCCTAATTTGTATTGTGCTAGGCCAAACTCATTCAATGTAAGAAGAGCATTTTCACGTTACATTAAATCCAAGGCTACTTTGAATTCAGAAGCACCAGTGAAATCTACTAAATTCTGGCACAGGCTAGTTAGCTCTTAAGAGCAATGCTTGGGCTGAGAAATGTTTCACAGTTTGAATACTTTTAGATTGTTTTATTTTTATTTTTTAATTTTTTTTTGGTTTTTCTCTGGTACCAGGAACCGAACTCACAACCTTGCGCTTGCCAGGCAGGCGCTTTTGCCGCTGAGCTAAATCCCCAGCCCCACTTTTAGATTGTTTTAAATATTTGCTTACACCTAATGGAGATATGTTGAGGATGGTCTCCAACTCTAAACACCAACTGTGTTTGCTTCCGATACACCTTATACACAGACCCTTAAAGTAATTACACACAATATTTTCAATGTGCCTGTGACCTGTCATATAAGGTTGGAAGTAGAATTTTTCCACCTGTCTTGTTATATTTGTGTCCACAAATTTTTAGATTTTGGAAAATTTCATATTTGGGATTTTTAAAATTAGTCAATAATTACCTTGTAGGAAGTACCCAGATAAAAACAAAAATAAAACTCTTGCCTAAAAGTGTGTCCAAAGGGGATTTAATTCACTTTATAGTTATTTCTCACTGCTAACTCATTGCATTGGGACGCAGAGGTGACAAAAGGAAGAGTGTTACAAGATCAAATTATTGCACACAAAAGCACCTTTTATTCAACATCACCATGATTTATTTTTCCTAGTATTTTTTTCCTCATATGGAAAAATAACTTCATCGAGATAACAGATGTTTCTGCCAAAGTGAATCTCACTGTTTTAATGATTTTCTTTAAAAAGAAAAAAAAATCAATTCTGCACTGCATCATTGCTCCACCTCTTTTCTGCATTTATTTGGATGACGTTTTTTAAAAAAAAAAATCTGTCAGCAGAAAACAAGATATTTCCCTCAAATAGAGTAATTATATTTTATTGCTGCTTTGTTTAGTATATATTTTTCTCAATTGGGAAAAAAATCTAGGTGACGAAAAAAATAACAAGAGAAGTAGTTTACATGATCGTGACATTTAAATTGCTGCCAAAAGAAAAACTGTAAAAAAATTTAAATGTGAAATATTGTATAACTTCAAAAAAAACTTACCTCAATTGTCTATCATTTATCATGTGCTACAAGTCAACTTCAACTTTCTAAATAGGATTACAGTCCTTTATTGTAAGCCCCTAGTGGTACTATGGTATACATTTTAAAAAATGCTACTACAAAAATTTTCTTTTCCTCTTTGTTTTTACCTATTGTGTACTTAAGCTATACATAATTTTGAATAAAAAGCCTACAGTAGGTATAAATGCAATAATTAACTGATCCTGTTTGCTGATGTCCTGTTCATGTTCCTCAGAAGGTGGCGTCTTTTAATCCAGCATCTTCTCCTGCTTCTTGCCTTCCTTTTTCTTCTTCTTAGATTCTGCTGCAATTAAAAACAGAGACAAGAGAAAAATAAGCACCCAGCTATCAATCTGTTAGAGGGAAAGTCGCTTTATTTACAACTGGCCAGTAACTACAAGATAAGAGCAATAGAAAAGTTGTTTGGTCCTGGCAGTTCTCTTGGTGAGTTGAGAGGAGTGTGTGTGTGTGTGTGTGTGTGTGTGTGTGTGTGTTTGCATCCATGCACTTTTGCCGGAAAAGTACCTCTAAAATTAAGCCGGGGGAGCACAGCTACCTTGTATGAATACCTACAAACGTCTGTTGTCTTATTGGCCGTTTCTATTTGGCATGCAAAATATTATTTGAATGTCTTGCTTAGAAAACAAACACAGCAGGCAGTCGTCTCTTAGAAAATTAACCAGGTTGCTGCTCAGCGAAGAGCTTAAAGAGCCCTTCTGAGCCCCTCTCTTCTCACAGAACTGTGTAGAAGAATTAGCACTTTCTTTCTGAGCAAACAATTCCTGAGTACTTCCCCTTTGGGTGCCCCATCTGTTTATATATTCACTTCGCTATTTACGGAGCAAGGAGCAGCTGTGAACCCCATGTCGCCCGTCTAGACCTTTGCCTAGAGGCGTCCAATCTTGCAGGAAGCGAATAGAAGTACCGAACTGTGTTAAACTAAACAAGTAAAATCCTGAGGATTTAAATTAAAATTCTCATCCTTTCCCACTCAATTATCTTGACTTTGCTTTTTTTCTACTGGAAAAATGTAATAGGAAACAGGATACATCTACTTAAGCTCCAAAGACAAAAATGGTAAGGTAGCTGGGCTAGCAAATGAAACTGCCGGTTGTTTCTGTGCTGCCTCCCCCACTGGGTCCACAGCAATGGCAGAATAGCCCTGGGCAGGCATAGGCTCTGGAGACAGAGTGCTAGGGTTTAAATGCAGGCTGCATGGTTAAGTTACTATGGGACTTTGAGAAAGCTAATTCATGCATTTGTGTTTCAGATTAATCACTTTTGAATGGGCATATGAATAATATCATAATATCTGATGGCAAACAGAGGATTACTAGCCAAATTTACTCAGTTGTATAAAGTCCACTGAGAACAGAATACGGCAAAATAGCATTTGCTCAACGAAAGTATGGATTTATATCTAGTTGATAATAAACTGAGACTATTTCTCTATATAATTAAAATTCTGCATCATCACCAGTGTGAATGGGCTGAGCATGTGATGAACAGCAGAAGAATACTGGGACAAAAGCAACAGCCGATGGGAATTAGGAAGCTGTTCAGGAGATCATAAAAATTATCTCTAAGAAAATCCCCGGGCTTATGGTGAGAGAAGACATGACACGATGTCAATAAGAAATCGTGCACATTTTTCAAATCACACTTAAGTAGAGCTAGAAACCCTTATCTCTTATTATCTGTCCTCAACAATAGTTCTCAAGACCACTGAACACTGGTGAAAAGGTGTTGGTGTTCCTTATCATTTTTCCACACTTCTGGCGTTCAGGTTTCTCTAGGGCACCATATGCAATTTGGTCAGCAGTTTCTAAGATCCTGATTAATTGTTGCTCTTATAGGTAGCCATTCTGTTCATGCCTATCCTCAGCTTGTCCCACTTGCATATTTAAGAGACTTGCTCTTTCATTCCCTCTATATTTTCTTGTTTTTATGAGTGTCTCCTTAACATATAAAGAGTAAGATGACAAGAATTTCTTAGTTTAATGATACTTATAAGGTCTGAGAAGGTATTCTATTTAATAGCTAAGCAAATAGTGTTTAAACATTCGATAATCCCTAGGCTTTGGTTGACATTTTAAGCAGTAGCTGTTTATAAGGATGATACCCTCAAGGAACAATCATTAACTGATCCTGTTTGCTGATGTCCTGTTCATGTTCCTCAGAGGGTGGCATCTTTTAATCCAGCATCTTCTCCTGCTTCTTGCGTTCCTTTTGGAGTGCCAAAAGGAAGCTAACTGGGGTGCTCCTCTTGTTTCAGTTTCCTCATATCCTATGCTGGGGACTCCTCAGGAATCTCCAAGCTTTCAGCTCTCAATTAGAGAATAGTTTGTGCCAATATTTTCATACTTTGGCTAACACCTCTCTATTTCATATGTAAGTCTGAGTGGATGCCAGAGCAATTAGGTGTTTTAAACACATTTATTTCATAACACATGAAATTACTGTGAGTGCTGAGCACTACTGGAGCTAATGTAGGTTGTCATCTCTATAAGTACTTGGGCTTGGGGATCTCTCCCCAAACTCCTGCTGTTAAAGGCCTGGGCACTCCCTCTCTGTTGTCTAGGTCTTGCGTTTCTTTTTCATTAAGTAACAATGTGTCCAATTCCAGGAAATCTACCACTTTCCCATTCAATCTACACAGGGACAATTGCCTCATTCTTCTGACACAATTGGCACATCATCATAGCATTGTACAAACACACGATACACATTATCCACTCTGTGCTCCATCCAGATAGGTACAAAAGTGAGAAGGCTTTGGTAAAAGTCAAAGAAAAGCAGGAGGAATGTACATTTACAACGAGGCAGTTTGATTCCTCACCTAAAATGTTTGAATTTTTGCAAATAAAGAAAATACTGATCACAATCAAAAGGACTTTTTTCTGACTCTTATCTGTACTTAACTGGCAGATTAAAAGTGCTTTGTCATTGTTCATCTCTGTGGCCTGAAAAATTGATTAACAACCTTGCAGTTTTTGTCTAGTATGTCTTTGGAATGTAAAACAGTACCATGAAATCTAGGTTCTAGAAAAACTTGGTCTAACTTCTCTAATAACAAATGGAGAAGCAGGAACATTGAAATACGGTCTCGTTTCTTCAGTTTCCATACTTGGGCTGATTTCAATTTCCCAAGGCCGCCATTTTTTCCCCTCTGGTCTTTGACCTTCAAGCCCTCTCTCCATTATCAACCCTGTGCTTCCACCCTTGCTCTTCGCTTATTGGTTTGTCTCATCCTTCAGGTGCTGCCATCAGCATATCTACCTCATTGGCCTCATGATTTAGTTAGAATCTTTCCTCTTCGGTTCCTTTATTAGAGTGTGTGTTATCAGTACCGTAGTGGACAGTGAAGAATAAGCGACAAGAGGAAAAACTCTATCACTGCTGTACCCCAGGCTGTGCACAGGGTCTTGTGCATGACTGTTGGTCAATAAATTCCAGTGAAATCAGTAAATGTTTAACATGACACAAACCTATCTCACACATCTTCTTTGTGGAGATTCTTAGAATTCCTTTGTGTGTGTGTGTGTGTGTGCGCGCGCAATTTCTATTTCAACCTTCATTCATGCCTGAGTGTTTTTTGTTTCTCTACCATCTCATTTTGTTTAGCCAGTCCCTGTTTATCCTTAGAATCTTAGTTCAATTTTAGTTCCTCTGGGAAACCTTCCCAGACTCCCAGACTAAGCAGATTCCACACACAGACCCATTTATTGTGCCTTTTGTTTCTTTTTCCACATTAGAACTAAACTGTTAATTGTGTCTTAAATAAATATGCTTTTTCCTCTTTCTGTGAGGGGAGAGACCCATGACTGTATTTTGCATCTGTAAGTTCAGGGCCTGGCTCATGACAGTTATTCATGAAATATGCATTGCATGCAGACTGGACAAATGAATGTTTGAGTGAGAAATTGAGTATCAACTTATCATTATACAGAATAATAATATTTTTCATAGAATGGAAAGACTGTAAATTCATCAGAATCTTAGTAGATCATTAAAAATGAATATTTTATGAAGAAGAAAGTCACAAACATATACACAGGAAATTTATTTGTATTTCTTAACACAATTTCTTGTCCTTAAAATAAATGCCAGAACTAACTCTGTGGGTAAAACTCATATCACATTTAGGTGGACTGTTAAGGTGACAGCCGGAAAAACTTTGCTATGAGTGCAAAAGGCACACATTGTCCAGGAGCAGTGCAAGCACTTCATAAAGTAGTCATATATGAAGGACCACAAGGATCCCAGCCACGATGTGAAAGAGTAGAGACCTTCTTTCCCACTGAACAAAGCCAAATCAAGTGACAGGCCACAGAGAAAGCAACTCCTGAGGCAAATGTCACTGTTCTCCTCCTGGACTAAGGCCATGAAGCAGACATAAATGCAGGGAGGAAATGAGCCCATCAAATGTGAGAGCAAGGAGTTCCTTCCCATGAAGTGATTTCTCCTCCTCAGATGGTCCCTATGAGGAAATTATCACTTTCAAAAATCAGTCTTTGTGGTATGTTTCAACTCCCTGCACTTCAAAACTTCAAGCTTTCTTTGTCCAGTTTTGAGTTGATAGTACTCATAAAAATTGGGATATAGGCATGAGAAAGGATGGTCGGCTTATAAAACTTGGCGCTACTTGAAAAGAAAGAGTTTTCTTCCAAGATATGTTTGAAAGGATTCAGGAAGCCTATGACTTTCCTAAAAAAAAAAAAAATCTATTCTAGTAAGAATTCATTGTTTTTTATTTAAATGTTAGATTTCTCAAATAAGAGAAGCCTTATGATATTCAAGCTTCATGTCTGATTTATTTCAATAACATGGGAGTTTCAGGGTGCATACTTTTTTTCTACAAGCGACACAAGTTTATCTTTTTATGGCAGAATAGTACTCCACTGTATATGAAAGCCATATTTTTTTATACATTCATGTGATGATGGACATCTAGGACACTTCCAAAATTTAGCTATGAGTTGTGCTGCTATAAACATGGATCACTGCTATGTAATGTCTTTAACTCTTTCAGGAAGATACCTAGAAGAGGTATTGCTGGGTAGAATTTCTAGTTTTAGTTTTCTGAGAAATATCTAGACTGATTTCACTAATGTTTATGTGAGTTTACATCCCCACCAACAAAAGATAGATCATAGGAAATAGGGAGACAAACATGCAAAAATGGATGGTTAGAGGAGACAGGGGAGGGGAAAGAGATTTAAAAAGAATTAGACATGTTACTTTTGGCACCACTTCCCCATGAGAAAGGCAACCATTTCTACAACCACATATTGCTTACAA